CTGGGTTTTACCATGGAAATCATTCTCGCCAGTATTTTGAAAATTAATTTCTCCTGTTTCTAAAAGCATGGAAGCAAAATTGGGAGATGAAGGGAGGTATGAAATAGAGAATAAAAACACCTGTGGTGTCATTTCCGAGGGAGACTTCCTTCCCAACCTTTTAACAAAAAGCCAAACCAGTTCTAATCTGTTCACCTTCTTGCTGAGGGATTCATTCACAGTTGTGGGCTTGTTAGGGAAGAACCAAGTTGCAATTCAGGATCAGGAAAGGCTCAGGATAACAGTTCTTTGGCCAGGGCAGCCTCTTTTTAGCTGTGTTGGGGGCAGGCCTCTCCCTAACCTTCGGCCTCTCCACCCCTCGGGCCTTTGCTTCCCTCCGACAGGTGTGATCCGTTAATGACAAGTGCCCAGAGGCACACAGCTCAGGCTGGAGGGTGCCCTAGTAGGGAAAGCCCACCCACCCGTGCACCCGGTCTTCTGCTGCTTCTCAGCTGCCTCCGGTGTTAGCACTCTGTCTCCAGGATTGCGGAGCTTCCCAAAGGGCCCTGCCTCCTCTCTCTTCCTGGGTGACTTAAGTGAAAGTGTGTACCCTCCCTGCTCTGTTCCTTAATACATTCACTTCCTCATATAACATGATGTTTTGAATGCTAGTGAGTGAGTGTGCGAACGAGCCGTTTTCCTGCTGGCCTTTTGGAATCTTTCCCCTCTCTGAATGCCCCGTATGTGAGCAGCTGTGGACAGGATGGTTTGGCTCTGATTATTCTGCCAGGTAGCCTCCAAAGAAGGATGGATACAGAGCCACAGCTCTTGCTGCTGTGGGGGTGGGGAGGCCATGCCAGGGCAGTGGCTCCAGTGTTTTCTAAGTTGTAATCGTTGAGGGAGCAGAACACCAGGTCTTTCCCGCAGAGCCGCGGGAAATCTCTTGATCAATGTTAGACAGTTTTGGGATGGGGTGGTGAGGAGCTGGGTGGTATTTCGGCCTGTGGTTTATGGTACTGCCCCTCACCCTGCCCTCACTCAGTCCGATTCCAACGTTTCTGCCCATTTGACGGGGGAAGCGTGACTGCCCACTTCAGACTGTTTCTAAAGGATTTCTGCTGCGGCTTCTGTACCTCCTTCCTGTTTACAGTGACCAACTGCACACACGCTGAAAGTACATGCAGAATCGTGCACGGCTGCCCACCGCCACGTCTTGGGGAGCCAAACGATTGCAGATGGATATTTGGCGGAGGAGTGGCTAGGGAAAAAAAGCCATTAAGTGGTCTGGACAAGCCCTCCAAGGGAAGAGGGAGCAAGGCGTTATCTGCACAGAACTTGCACTGTGCGCAGTGTTCTAAGTGATCAGAGGGACTTAGAGGAAACCAGAGAATGCCTGCAGCTCATGGGCACAGACTGCGCCCTAGTTTAAAAATCGTTTTATTGTGAGTCCAAAGAGCAAGTGCGTTTTCCATTCAGTGTTTTGTGCAGCTTCCATTTGGAGCCATTGATGGCTGTCCCTCAACGTTGCGACCCTGGTCCCATTCCTCCCCCGAGTTCCCGTTTCCCTTCTATCCCCTTCCCTGCCTGCCTGCTGGCCTCTCTCCCTGGGCCCAGGCTGCTTTTCCATCTGTGTGCTTAATTGCTCTACGGCAGTGGTTCTCAACCTGTGGGTCAAGACCCCTTTGGGGGTCACATAGCCCTTTCATGGGTCACCCGATTCATAACAGTAGCAAAATAACAGTTAGGAAGTAGCAACAAAAATGTTATGGTTGGGGGGTCACCACAACATGAGGAACTGTATGAAAGGGTTGGTCGCGGCATGAGGAAGGTTGAGAACCACTGCTCTAAGGAATGGCACCTCCCTGGTGTTAACTGTCCACCCTGTGAGGCGGAGGTCAGCCTCCCTGACCCGGTCTGACACGTCTCCATCAGCTCTCGTTCCTGGGGGTGCGTTGCTTTGGCCACACACAACTCACAGACCACACTCACAATCACGAGGTCTAACGGGGAAGTTAACAGGTCAATGCCCAGGGTCAGGGGTGCTCAGGGTTCAGTTCTTGAGTCAGTATACCTTCCTAGCTGTGTCCACACAGGCTACTCCTCTTTGGTCCTCAGCTTCTCGGCCCTTGCCTGTGCTGACAGTGTTACGAAACTCTCTTGTGCTGCCAGGAAATGCCCAAAGGGCACTGCACTCCACAGGCAGCAGCAGGTCGTGTCAGCCCAAACGCAGCTTGGCCTTATCTCTGTGGGTTAGTAAGCCCAGCTCCCAGATAATGCCTGGGGGCACTATCTTACTTCACTAGCAAGCCCCCTTCCCAAAGGCATGCTGCCTTCTCCCTCCTGAGCCAGGAAGCCCACTCCTCTCTGTCATGCCCCTGGTGCAACTGCCACTCTTGGCCCCTGGGTCTGGGGTTCAAAGGGCACGCTCCACTACTGGCGCTTGTTTCTTGCTGGTGGTGGGGTTCTCATTCCTGCTTCTTCGATGGCTCATATTAAACACGAGAGGATGGCAAAACACCAGTCCTCAGAGTTCCACACACCCAATTTGCATGGCCCCGCCCACACGGATGCCATGGACCTTACAGTCCCCTGGGTGGGCCACAGACTCCTACCTCACAGTTACGTAATGCCTTCCGTCCTTTGATAGGCATGCAGAGACTGGCCAGAAGAGCCACACCATCAGCTCACTCGTCACAGAGAATTCACAGGTCCTTGGGTCTTGCTGTCACCCAGCGGAAGGTAGAGCTTCCTCCCTGTTTCAGTCCAGAGCTCCTGTCATTTGTTTTCCTGGCTGGGTCAGATTCTGCTGTTGAAATATGACTACTTACCCATCCTGCCCGCTGGGGGCTGTGACGTCAGAAGCCGTGCCACCAGTATGAAGGGTCTCCAGAAAGTTTGTGGAGACGTGGGATTCAGGTCTGTCGGCCTTTTCCTCAGCGTTTGAAGCCCCGTTGGGTTTCAGACACCAGCAGGTTGCCACAGTGGACAGGCTCCAGCAGAGGCGGCTCGAGGATCAGGGCAGGGCTGCCCACCCCAGCCATGCACACAGCAGTGACGCTGGCACCGCATGCCGCCTTCGTACATTCCTAGGGACGTTCTATTGCCTTTTAATTCCCTCGCCCCAACTCTGAAGCCCCCTCATGTGCTGGGTTTGTGAAGTGTGCAGTGGTGTGGTGAAAAGGTTTGAGATACGGTGGAGGACCAAATGAGCCCAGGCCGAGGAATGCAGGCACCGGCAGACTAGCTGGCCCGGTTGAGGCAGCGTGCCCACACAGGCCTTCCATGTGTGACAGCGGCACAAAAGCTTTCCAGGGGCCTGCATACTGGAGGGACCCTGGTGATGCCCGGGGTTATTCTTGGTCTGTTACCCTTAAGGTTGGTGGTTCAAACCCAGCCACTCCCAGAGAAAGATGAGGCTGTCTGTTCCCAGAAAGATACAGCCCCTACAACGCTGCCGAGCAGCTCACTCTGCCCTGTAGGGTTGGGGTGTCGGGGTCTTTTGCTGGCCTGTACAGCGCGTCCCCCCCCACGCCCCCTTCCAACCATGTGCATGAGACCTGGTGAGAAGGTGCCGGCATTGCCCTTACTGCCTGGAGGCTGGTGGTGTTTGCACCTGCTGGGCAGCCGGGGACAGGAGGCGCTGGTTCTGCAGCGAGAGCAGCTCCGGGTCCTCCTCTACCCTTCCTGCACTTGGGGTGACCGCCAGCACTCTGGGCCCACCTGCACCCCAGAACCCACCCATGTGGGCTAGAAGGCAGTTGGTCAATGTGGCTTGGACACCCCCACCCCCCACCCCCCACCCCCTTTCAGGCAGCAGCAGATGGGACTCTCTGGGCAGAGGGCGCTGTAGGCCCAGGAGTCCTTGGGCCCTCGCGGAACCAGGGGTCCTAAGGGGAAGGGGACCCATGCTGGCGATGCAGCAGTACGACGTGCAGCTGCAGTCCTGCACTGCTGCCCGGTGACAACAGGCTCACACGCCCCCGTGGTGCCGTGAATTGATGTGTTGTCCTGGTGACTCCGCCTAGGCTGGGTAGGAGGAGTCAGGATCTCCCCTGACCCCTCCCTTCCGCCACCCAGCCCACCACCTGATCCCTTCCGGGCTGTTCCCCAGGCTCCTCACCTCCCCCACCTGCCAGTGGCTGGTAGCAGAGCCCTGGCTGCAGCAGGCACTGGATCTGCAGCCCTGCACCAGAGCTCTGCAGCTCCTCAGGATGCTTCCCCACCCTCCAGTCCCCCTCCCCCACCCTCAACCCAGGAAGACAGCTGGCTGGCTAGTAGCTCAGCCTCTGTTGGTGGTGGTGGGAATGGCCCCAGAATCAGGGCACAGCTGGAGATAGGTGCCAGCCCCTACCCCCGGCCGTGGCGGAGGGCATGCAACCGGGGCCCTTGGGAGGACGTTAGCCACCTGGCTTTGAAGACGGCATCCTGTGGAGAGTCTGGGCCTCTGAGGCATCTGTGTGCGAGCAGCTTCTGTGCACGCAACGCATGCATTGGTGCGTGGGTATGTGTGTGGCCAAATGGGGGACAGGGGTGGAGTTACCTTGGCATGGCTGCTGTGACCAAGGCCACCCAGCTCTGTGCCCCTCCTTCCTGTGGGACCTGGAATAGGAGCAGGGAAAGGGCTCCAGCCGGCCTGTCTAGTCACAGCCCTGTCCCCAGGCTTCCCAGATGGGCTGGGAGGGTGGCCTGAGGGGTGGAGGGGGCTTCGGGGTGCTGCAGCACCACTGTCCTGTCGTAGATGTCATGGTGGGCAAGGCATTCTGAGTGTGTGCGCACTGGGGCCATGTGTCACTGGCTTGCAGGCTGATGTAGGGTGGGCCCACTCAACCCTTCGGATGCTAAGGACCTCCCCTCCCCCTGCCTCACCAGCCTGGAATGGGGATCAGTGAGCAGAGCCCTGGACACCTGAGGGGGAAGGGAGCTGGTGCTGTGTGGGGAAGTTGGACGGGAGATGGAAGTCAGATGAGCATGCAGCATCTGCTGACCTGGGTGGGCTCGGCTCAGTGCCTGTGCCGTTTCAGGGATCAACGCGCAGGCGCGACGGCTTCAGCGGACCCGGGCCAAGGGCACGGCCACAGGTGCCCGGCGGCCCTCGCCACCCGGCCTGCGCCGCAGCCTCAGTGAAACCAGCCTGAGCACAGCCCCATCCACAGACGCGGGCAGGACTCACTACGCCACCCTGCCCGCCTCCCGGGGGCCTGACAAGCCACCCCGGGACGCAGGGGGCTCAGCTGATGAGGGAGCCATGCGGCCCCCACTTCACCAGTCACCACATCTGCTCCTCCTGCAAGGCTACAGCCAGCAACACGTGAGTGAGCCCCCCTCCACCACCACCAGGGCCAAGGGTGGGGCCTGCTCCGACCTGGGGACTTAAGAAGGTCAGGGGTGCCCTTTCCAGGCCTCATGCACACACCTAGTGCAATCAACAGGGACCGTGATGGCAGGTGCTCAGAGCCTAGCAGCTGGTCGTCTCCAGCCAGGCTCCTCTGAGACCTCCTCCCCAGGGAGTGTCTGTCATGTGTGGGTGGCGGTCCTGGCCTGGCCGTGTCATTGAGCAGCAGAGGACTCCCCTCTGCCCATGGCCTGAGCCCCCTGCTCCCTTTCAGGACAGCCTGGTGTACATGCTCAACCGGGACCTGCACACGGTGGGCCAGCGCACGCCTGCCAGCCGGCCCAGCATCAGCCTGGCAGCCCCCGACATCCTCCCCCTGCACTGTACCATCCGGCACCGCCATGGCCGGGCAGCTGGCGACACCTTGGTGCTAGAGCCCATTGCGGGCGCGCCCGTGGCCGTGAACTTTGTAGAGGCAGGCGGCCACCCGGTGGAGCTGCACCACGGGGACCTGCTCTCCCTGGGCCTTTACTACCTGCTGCTCTTCAAGGACCCACGGCCCGCTCAGCCGCTGCCCCCCCAGGCCCTGGCCCGCCTTGGGGCTGCGCCTCGGAGCTGCCGCCTCTGCGGGGCCCTGCTTGGGGCCCCGGGTGCCACCCACCCCCCAAAGCCAGGTCCTGAGCCTGCCCTGCGGCGGCAGCTGCAGCTGGCCTTCGAGCCCTCGCAGGAGGAAGCACTGCTGCGGCGGATCCTGACGCTGGTGGACCCCGCAGGGGATGACCACAAGCTGGCACCCGCCTTCCTGCTCTGCCTGTGTGTCCAGCATGCCGCCGCCTGCTTCGGGCCTGATGCCTTCGGCCAGTTCCTGCTGAAGATGACTGGGGCCATCCGGGACACGGTCTGGGTCAGTCATGGGGCCTGTCCTTGTCCATGTTTGCAGGGAATGATGAATCAGGGCTGGCTCAGGCCCCTGGGTCGGCAGTGACGTCATGAGTTCTGGTGTGCACTGGGACCTTCTGTTTGGTTCCCAGGCTGAGATACCAAGGTGTGCTGTGGCGCCTGGGTGGCCGTTAAGGGCAGTCCACAGGCCTTATGTCCTTGCATTCCTGCCGCTGTCTGTGCAGCCGTCTCCATCCCCCCAGGAGCGCTGGGTTTGCTGAACAGCTGGTGTGCGCCCCAGAGCAGTGAGCTGCTGCCAGCCCCCACCTTCCTCAGTCCCCCACTCGGGTGCTTGGCCTGGCCGGTCAGCTTTACCGTCAAATATTGCTGGAGGTCTGTGTTCCTAGGCCTCAGCGCCGCCCACTGCCCTCCCCTTATGCTGTGCCGGGTCGGGCAGACAGACCTCTGGCTCCCAGGGGTGATGCCTTTTCCTTGGTGCCATCAAGTGCATGCTGACTGCAGGACAAAGCGGCAGTGCCTGGGGGCTTGCCCAGGATGTCCTTCCTCAGAGTGAGTGACTGCGGGGCTGCCCCAGGGGCTGTACCCTGGTGTTGGTGCACGTCTGCTGAGACTGGTGCCCCAGCCCCTCTCTCCACTCCCCAGACCGGTGTTTCTCGGCCGTCAGGCAGTGTGTCCATCTCACGGATCACATCACAGCAGGCACAGGGCTCTGCGGGGCCAGGGGTGATTGCTACCAATGAGTAGCCTCGCCGCCTGACCAGGACAGCTTTATAAGGGCTGGCCAGGCCCCATCCTGCCCCGCTGGGGTGTAGACCAGGTTCCCAAACTCTGGGAGACACATTTTGTCCTCACTTGGCACCAGTAAGTGCTAGCAGGGTCTCCAGTCTGGCAGAGGAGCCCTGGTGGTGCAGCAGGTTAAGCAGAAGACTGCCAACCACAAGGTCAGTAGTTCGAGCCCATCAGCACTCCTTTGGGTAAAAGATGAGCTTTTTTGCTCCTGCAAAGAGTTAGTCTCTGAAACCCACAAAGCAGTTCTGTCCTGTGCTCCAGGGTCAGAGTCGGCGTCTGCCAGGGGCAGGGCGCGTTTATTGTTTGAGCCCTTTGTCCTGTGCTTGCCATTTTCACTGGCAGCTGCCGTATGCGATACAAGGTTCTGGCCTAGGCCTCCCTCTCTTGAGGCCCCAAGACCCCACCTCTAGCTGGTGGTGTGGGTGGGGTCCTTGTCTGCCTCTCCCTCCCACCCTCTCACTGTCTCTCTCCCTCTCTCCCATGGTCACAGGAGAGAACCAGAGACCTCGCTGAGAAGCAGGCGCAGCTGTAAGTGGGCCGTCGGAGACCACCCCTCAGACACCCAGGGCGGGTGTGTGTGTGTGTGTGTGTGTGTGTAACCCTGAGCATTGGGACGCGTGAGCAATGGCAGTGTTTTCAAAGGGGTGCTGAGTGCAGCCCTTGGGACTTCTGTTCCGGACACATCATCTCAGACAACAGACATGACAGCTGGTGGTCACATGGGCAGCATGGAGGGGCCCAGGCGACGTGCCTCCCCGTGCACTGGGCCTCCATCTCCGCATAGCGTGTCCCTCCCGCTCAGGGGCTTGGTGGCACTGGTGTCATGAAGGCTGAGGTGGTGGTGGGGTGTTAGCCGGGTGGGTGGGTGGGTGGGGCTTCACACTGGCCTGCCCTACTCTCCTGACCTGCCGCCTGGGTGAGGGGACAGGAGCTAGGGCTCAAGGAGCGCCCCGGCAGCGCAGCACCCTCGCCCTCATCATGCACAGAGATGGCCCAGCCTGTGTGCGTGTCTGCTGCATGGCTTCGGGCGGACCCTGTGTGTTAGCAGCTGTCTGCTCAGTGTCACATGGGGACCCTGGGAAATGTACCCATTGTGTGGGCAGCAGGGGTTGTGGTGCTCCCCAGCTGACGGGAGAGGGTCTTGGGGTCAGTGCTGTTGGCAGTTTCTCTCCGGGACCCCTTCCCACCGAATGTGTATTCAAGTGTGAGAGAGGAGACAGGAGGACGCTGCCCCCGGGGCTCTGGGTCCTTCCTCCCAGAGGTCAGCCTTGGGTGACCTCTGCTCCGCATGTGCTACACAAGTTGGGGGCCATTGAGGGGATTCTGCCTCACAGCTACCCCCAGTGACAAAGCAGAGCTGCTATGTTGGGGCAGATCACAGGGGTGGGGGTGGGGGATCTTGAGCTGCTGGCGTTTCAGTGTGTAGAAGAGCACTTAGCCCCACTCACCCATCCACAAACCCACTGCCATGGCCCAGTCCTGGCCAGCTCACGTGGCCCTGGCCAACAGAGTGGGGCTGCCCCGACGGGTTCCTGAGGCTCCCCGCCATCGAGTTGGTGCTGGCTCACAGTGACCCTGGAGGACAGGGCAGAACTGCCCCTGTGGGTTTCTGAGACTGAAACTTCTTATGGGAGTAGAAAGCCCTTTCTCCCTGGGAGCGACTGGTGGTTTCAAACCGCCTGTTGCAGTTAGCAGCCCAGCCCTTAACTATGGTGACATCAGGGCCCCCTCCCACCTCACCCCCCCCCCAGCTGTTGGTGGGCTGGAGACGCCGATCTGGTTAGCAGCCCACTGCTCAGCCCGCGGCAGCACCAAGGCTCCTCTTCTAGCTCCCTCCATAGACAGCTCCCCACGCCGCTGGCCATGCTCAGCAGGGGGCTTGTGGGCGGGGCGGCAGCCCACAGGCCCCGCCCAGTCCCAACACCCCATTCTCACCCTGGCAGCCAGGAGCCAGCCTCTGGGCCAAGTGTGACCATGGCCGAGCTGGCCCCCGACCTGCAGCACGTGCTCTTCTGGATGGCCAACGCCGTGGAGCTGCTCTACTTCCTGCAGCAGAAGTGCCCGCTCTACGTGCAGGCCATGGAGGCCCCACCGGGCAGCACAGGTGGGCGCTGCTGCTCCCCTTGCACCCCGAGGGAGAGGCTGACCTGCCTGCTCCTCCTACAGAGGGCACATGCCAGAGGGAGCCCAGTGACTTCGCTGTGGGGCCTGCTGTGAGGAGGAGTTAGCTCGCTCCCTTGCCTGCCAGCAGTGCCCAGGTGGGGAGCTGGGGCCCGCCCTCAGCTGTAGGAGCAGGGCAGCTTCTCCCCATGGCCCTGGCTGCCCATGGCTCTGGGCTGGTATTGCTCTTGGAGAATTGCTACGGGCTGAGTCTCAGGCCTCCATGGTGTTCTGTGACCATCGGGTGGCTCCAATTTGAATGTGTCTGGGCACGTGTGCAGGGTCCCGCCCCCAGGCAGTGTGGCCCACGTGGGCTCTGCCTTGCCCCACCTCCCAAGACTGGCTCGTGCCACTCCCCCACTTCTTTCCAAGCCTGAATGGGACACTGAGAGGCCCCTTCCTGCAGCAGGCTCCAGGGAGTCCCTGCTCTCGTGCGCGCTGACGGCCAGCGAGGAGGCCATGGCGGTGCTGGAGGAGGTGACCCTGTATGCCTTCCAGCAGTGTGTGTACTACATTTCCAAGGTGCCCTGGCGGGAATCCCCTGCTGGCGGGCAGGTGTGGGCGGGGGTCCCACTCAGGACCAAGGGAATTGGTTGTGGCCCTGCAGTGCCTGTACACGTGCCTCCCGGCCCTGCTGGAGTGCCCCCCGTTTCCGGTGGAACGCCGAGAGAGCTGGAGCCCCGGGCCTCGCCTCCCCGAGGAGCTGCACCGTGTGGTGTCCGTCTACCAGGACACCCTGGATCTCCTGAGGCAGCTGCAGGTGCACCCTGAGATCGCCGCCCAGATGCTGGCCTACCTGTTCTTCTTCTCCAGCACGCTGCTGCTCAACCAGCTTCTGGACAGGGGTGAGCACCGCACGGGGAGCGGGGCCACCTGGACGGGCACTGCCACAACCAGCAGCCAAGGAAACAGCAAAAGCCCTCAGGGAGGAAGGGGCAGGAGACTCTGGGACCAGCGAGGGCAGGGGCGTGGGGTCACCGGAAAGGGTGCAGTGCCCCTTGGAGAAGGCTGGTGGACGTGTCCCCCAGGTCCCTCGCTGAGCTGCTTCCACTGGCCCAAGGGTGTGCAGGCCTTTGCACGTCTGCAGCAGCTCCTGGAGTGGGCGAGGGGTGCCGGCCTCGGGGCTGCGGGCGAGCAGTTCTTCCGGAAGCTGTCCTGCACCCTCAACCTACTGGCCACTCCCAGTGCCCAGCTCGTCCAGGTAGGAGGAAGGGGGAGGTCATCCAGGTGGGCGGGTCGGGTCGGGCCAGGAACTCCCCACCTTGGCCCTGGGGTGACACCCCCATAGTGGCCAGGAGGGGGTTCCATGCCAAGAGGGACCCTGGTGTCCTGGATGGTAGGTCTCTAGAGGTGTCCTCACCCACACCTGCTTGTCACCAGATGACTTGGGCCACACTGCGGGCCACCTTCCCTGCCCTCCGCCCTGCCCAGCTCCACCGGCTGCTGACCCAGTATCAGCTGGCCTCTGCCATGGGCCCCACCAGTGCCTGGGAGCCGGGTGCCCCCGATGGCCCTGACGCCTGCAAGTCTGGTGAGCCTGCGTCGGGCAGGGCACGGGCGGGAGCCAGTCAGTGTCCACTGCCTTAGGAGCCCCTCCCTGAGGATGTCCCGGGGCCCCCAGACCTGTAGGCCTGGCCCACTGGGGTACCCGCTCTTGGAGCCCCTTCCCTCATGGGGACACTGGAGGGAAGACCCCCGGTCTTGAGCATCCATAGCTGAGGCCAGGCTCCACGTCCTGTTCCTTGCAACTTCCTCTCTCACCCCTGTGGGGCCAGTCCCTCCCCAGTAGCCAGAAAGGTGGTCTCCGGGCATGGCCTGCTCACACGTGACTGATGGGCATACTCTTGCGTATGTGTCCACGTCCTATGTTGCACAGGCCTTTTTCTGTGTGGTCCCGTGTGTTAGAACAGGGAGTCGAGGGAGGAACTGGGGAGAAGAGACGGTCAGCACATGGTTTCTAGAACCTGCTCCCGGACCCTGGTTGAGACACCGGGTCTGTGACCATGTGTCCCACCCAGTGCTGTGGGGTCTTATGTCCCAGGCCTGCCATTTGGTGGATAAGGGACCATCAGGCAGTAACAGCCCTGGGGTTTGGGGGGCATGAGGGAGCAGTTCCCCCTACTTGGTGTGGCTCTTGTACAGGACTGTCCCTTCAGAGACCCAAGGGTATAGGAGGAAGAGGGGTGACAGCCTAGATGGCTGGTCACAGGCCAGAATGTGCCCTTCTGTGCTGCCCAGTGGGTCAGGGAGTCCCTGTCGCAGCACCCTGGGGCCCAGTGTAGGAGTGGGGGCTGCAAACTTGCTGCGGACAGCATAGCCCTGCCCCCTCCCAGAGGACGTCCTGGAGTCGTACGAGAGCCCTCCGCCCATCATGCTTCCCAGCGCCGGCTTCCAGGTGGACCTGGAGGTGGAGCGGCTGCACGACCGTGTCTACCAGCACCTCCTCTACCTCCGCCACTTCCTGTGGGGCCTGCAGAGTGGAGCTGGCCCCGGTGGTGGGCCCCCATCCCCTGAGAGTCTGGAGGTATTGGGGTGTGGGGAGCCCTGGGGGGCCTCGTCATCTCAGGGAGAGACCTCTGGGAGTGGCCCTTCAAGTGGAAGCCACAGGTCACTCCCACTGGCTGCAGCACTTGGTCGTCAGGGCCCTGTCAGCTGCTCTCAGCCACCAGCCAGCACAGCATGGCGTGGAGGGAGGGGCTGGGGGTCCTGGCCCGCGTTCTTGCCCACACTGACCTGAGGTTGAACTTGGCCCCCACCTTGGGGTCCTCTTCCTTGCTTCTCAGTGCCCAGAGACCAGGCCCCCTCCTCACGCTGCACCGTTTCAAAGCTGAGAGAAGCAGGTGAAGTCCCGGGAAAGGCTCTAGGCCATCCCATTGAAACGGCCACCGGGGGGGCGGACAGCCTGGTGCTGCTGGGAACAGCTGTCTTCCTGCCGCTGCTCGTCAGAGCCCCGGGCGGTGGGCATCCGAGCAGAGCAGACCTGGCCGTTGTCCTGTAGGGTCCCGGATGCTCAGCAGGTGCCTGCTCTTCCTCTGCCAGGGCTCCTCTGAGGGCCAGCACAGCCCCCTGGACTCTCAGCCTCCTGGCAGAAGTAGGGGCACCCTGAGCAGGCAGCCCAGCCACGGGCCCCACCCACCCTCAGACCCCTCATGCCTCCTGACGCCGCCCAGCACCCCGCTTGGACTGGAGCCCCCCACCCAGGACTGGCCTGAACCCAACAGGAAGGCCCCCCCTGAGGTGAAGGGAAGCAGCCCCCAGGATGCAGCCACGGAAGGTAAGGTGACCTGAGGCACAGAGTCCCTCATCCCGAGAGTGGTCGCTGGGTCCCTGCCATCAAGCACCCGGATAGACTAGGGTCCAGACATTAAGGGTGGCCAAACCCAGGGCTGTGGGTTGGGTGGGGGACGGGTCCCCGAGGCCACAACTCTAGCAGCGGGGCTCCTGGTCTAAGTGCTGGGGCTGACGCTGAGGGAGCTGGTGGGCCCCTAGGGAAGGGGCCCCAGGGCTTCATGGCAGCCCTGCCCTGCTGCTTCCCACAGGGGTCCCGTCGTCGTCCAGCAGCAGCTCCCTCCCTGAGGACGCCCCCTGCTCGCTGGTGGTTGTGGAGCTGGAGCGGGGCCCCTCTGGGCTGGGCATGGGCCTGGTGGACGGCCTGGTGAGTGCAGGGGGAGTGGCCCTCTTGTAGCCACTTCAAGGGACTGAGACCCTTGTCTACAGCCGGGCCTCTGCTCGTCCCCCAGCACACGCCCCTGGGTGCCCCTGGCCTCTACATCCAGACGCTGCTGCCTGGAAGCCCCGCAGCGCTGGACGGGCGCCTTTCTCTGGGGGACCGTCTCCTGGATGTGGATGGCACCAGCCTGGTGGGCATCGGCTACCTAAGGTACCTGTTGGGGCCTGCCCTTGGACCCGGGCTGGGGTTTGCTGGCTTAGGTGCAGGTTTGGCCATTCCTTGGCCCTGCGTTTCAGAGCTGTGGACCTGATCCGGCACGGGGGAAGGAAGACGCGGTTTCTGGTTGCCAAGTCTGACGCCGAGACGGCCAGGAAGGTGCGATTCCACGCGCCTCCGACCTAGCAGGCGGCAGAGCAGGCCCCACATCCCGAGTGTACAAAATCAGACAGCCTTTCCGTTGCCGGGCTTTATGGAGCGAGCACACAGCTAATAAAGGAGTCTTTCTGACGTCTGGTGCCGGAGCTGCGCCCCCAGAGCCTCCCGGAAGGGCGCTGGAGGAACACAGCTGTGTGGGTAAGGGGGCCACAGGTGGCGGGCAGCTTGGTGAGCCCTGGCCAGTGAGGCCCCGGTGTGTCCAGGGGGTTGTGTCCCAGGCCGAGTGGCCGGTCTGGGCAGCATCCTTACGCTGGCAGGAGGCTGGTCTCCCTGTCCACCAGCTGGCTGACAGTGCGCAGGGCCAAGGGCAGCGCGGTGGTGGCATCACGGTGGAAGCGCGAGCTGTTGGCCTCTGGGCCTGGCGAGAACACGAACTGGGCCACACTGGGCATTTTGAGCAGGTTGGTCAGCTCCGTGGCCCTGGTGCGGACAGCATCCGTGTCCTCATCCCCAGGGCCCACAGGCAGGGTGCGCAGCTTGGACAGGAGCAGGGAGACCCTGTGGGCCAGGGTGGTATATCACCAGGTGTCCTTTGTCCCGTCCTCGTGAGTCTCATACCCCCCGCCCCCACACACCTGGGGATCAGGTCCTGGCTCCGTGAGGCCAGCTTGGTCAGCGTGGTCATGAGGACGGTGATGACCTGTGGCTGGCATTGGGGAGGACTGGCTGAGCGCCGGGACTGGGTGACCTCAAAGAGCAGGGCCTCCAGGGCTTCGAAGAACCGGGTGACCTGCTCCACGGTGCAGCGCCTGTCGTGGGCCACGGTCAGGTATTCGCCAGCAGCCCACACCTAGACGGGGGGCGGGCGGGGGGGTCAGCTCAGCATCAGCCCCACAGTTGTGTGGCCGGAGGGGCAGGTCCACCATGTGGGGCTTACCACAGCTGTGAACATGGGTTCCTGGCTGCGGATGCCGCTCACACTGCCTGCGAAGCCCAGCAGGTCCCTGGCCAGTTCGACCACCAGCGCCGGGCGCAGCCTGCACAAACCCAGGAGCTGTGTGCTCAGCACCCTGTGGAGCCAGGCATGACCCGCCGTCACAGGGAGCTCGGGTGGGGGGAAGGGGCGGGTCTGTGGAGATGGAGTGGGTTCAGGAGAGAGGGCATCAGGCTGGAGGAGCCCCACCTGTGTACGCGGTCCTCGTACTGCGGCACCGGGAACAGTGAGCCGCTCCTTTCCAGCAGTGCTAGTGCCAGCTGGGACATCAGGGCTGCGTCGGCCACCTTTGGGGGCGGGGAGATGTCAGAAGAGGGAGAGCAGGCAGGGCCAACTCCCAGGAAACCCCTCCCTCCCTGTGGCTGCTAAGGGAGTGCCAGGAGGCCGCCCTGCTTGGGAGGTTGGGGGCGGTAGGAGAGGACACAGCAAGACTGGGGTCCAAAGGCCCCCTTGGTGAATCCCTTCCATCGTGGAGCGGGGCAGGAGGCTCACGTGGGGCACAGCTGAGAAGAAGGCATGGAGCAGGGTGGGCACGGCCTGGGCGCACTGGAACACACGGGCGCAGCCGGCCAGGGGCTGCAGGAGGCGGTACAGCGGGGCTAGCCTGGGATCGAAACAAGTTTCAGCCCTGTCGCTCAGTGCCAGGGGACTGAGCTGTGTCCCCGCACCTCCCTCTGCTGAGCTGCGAAGGGAGCACAGGACCCAAGCAGGCTGAGACCCCCGTACCCTTAGTGGTGCCCTGCCCCCACCTCAGGGTGCTGCCAGCCGCCTTGCTTCGCAGCAGGAACTGGAAGAGTGGCTGGAAGTGAGGGTCCCGGAAGCCCTCCAAGCAGCTAGTGGGCCGGAGGGAGATGTCCCAGAGTGGCCACTCTGAGGTCATTGGGGATAACCTGGGCATGGGGGGTGGGTGGGGGGAGATAGGGGTTAGAGGACAGGCATGGACGCAGCTCCGTGCACAGGAGGCCTTGACCCCGGTGCAGCGACAGCACTGCTGCCTGCCTGGGGGGGGGGTGGGGGGGGCGGGGGGAGGGCTCACCGGAGCTGCAGGTCCAGGGCTGCGGTCAGGCAGGGCAGGTCCAGCAGGGCATGCAGCAGCTCCACGGCCGTGCCCGCGTCCACCAGTGACGGGAGCAGCACCACGAACTCCGAGGTGAGGGCGGGGCTGTGCCAGGCCAGGAGCTGTGGGTGGGCACCAGCGCCACCACTGACCTGAGTGCCACTGCATTCTGGGGGCTTCCTGGTGTGACTGAGGTGCTTGGAAGCCCAAGGCACGGCTGCCGCGCCCCCCTTCCCTCCCTCTGCCCCTCATCATGGGCTCTCTTCCACACACACCCTGCCGGGAACAAGATGCAGCTGGCTGTGTCACCAACTGCCCCAGGGGAGCGCCCCCACCTGCCTTGAGGAGGTTCGGGAAGCTGGGCTTGAGGAGGCCCAGGCCAGGGCCGAGGATGTGCAGGCTGTCTCTGCAGAACTGGACGAGCTCAAAGGCCAGCATGGGGCAGGGGAAGAGCTCAGCCGGCACGGAGGTGAAGAGGTGTCGGCACACAGCCTCAGAGTCCACGGCAGCTGCCTCCCCTGCCAGCAGGAGCCCAGTGCCGTCAGGACCCCCACCTCTAGTGCCCACGAGAATGTTCTAGACAAGACGGGGCCCTCCTGCAGGCGGCTCACCGTGACTCAGCAGGAAGCGGGCAACAGGCAGCAGGGTGCGGGCCTGCTTCGGGTCCCCACCCAGACGGCCCAGCAGGGCTTTGAGGCAGGGCAGGGTGGGGTACAGGAAGGAGGGCTCCTGTCTGCACAGCAGGTCCAGCAGCAGCACGGCCTCCACCAGGCACTGGGGGGAGGGGAGGGGGGCGGGGGTCAGGCTTGGGCTCAGGCCGGCAGGGCCAAGGGGACGCTGGGACACGGAGGGAGCAGGTGCCTCACCGCCTTCTGTAGGTCCGAGTCTGCTCTCCGCAGGGCCCCTGGGGAGGACGAGGCGGGGCAGTAAGGTTCCTTGCCCCAAGGCTCGGGGTTGGGAGGGAGGGTAGGCCCCTGGGCGTAGGTGCACCCCAGCCTCCCCGAGGACCAGGACTCACGCCGCCCGCTTTGCTCCAGGATGCGCTGGCAGTATTCGAAGGCCCCGGCCCGCAGCTGCTGCTGGGGAGGCAAGAGGCGGCTGGCGGTGGCGCTGGCGGCTGAGAGCACGGACTGGGTGGAGCCCTCCAGTTCTGACCTGTCGTCTGTGGGACACACACAGGGTCTGCACACCATCAGACACCCCTACTTCTACCCGCCACACACCCACACCGACACCCACACCCCACCACACCTGCCTCCACAGCCGTCAAGCCAGCGGGGAGGCCAAGCAGCAGCCAGGTGCGCAGCATGGAGAAAACCAGCACATTGAGACGCTGGTCCTCTGTGAACCGCTGGCTCGTGGACAGCACCGTGAAGAAGTCCGTGGCCACTGACCCGTCCACCTCAGTGACCAGCCCGGGCTGTGGATCAAAGGAAGAGGGTAGGGGTTGCAGGTGGGCTGGGATGCCACCAGCTTGAATGGGGTGTATGGGGGCAGGGACCCCCGGGGAAAGGGAAGGATGGGCACCCTGGAAGAGAGAGCTGAGAAAAGGCCAGATGGACATGGGCACCCAGTGGACCAGCTCCTAACCTGCCTTGTCCGAGCTGCAGAGAAGCCGCTCCCAGGGAGCTGCGCTGACCCCTGCTGGGTGCTGGCATAGCGCAGCCAGCCCACTAGCCTCCGGTGCAGCAGGTCCACCTGGGCTGCGAGGGCAAGAGGGGCAGGTCTTGGGCTGGACATCAGGGGATGAAAGCAGCGGGTACTGAGTGTCTGCAGGGCCAGGCACCGTGCCACCGTTGCACAGCCAGGACAAGTGCACGAGTGTGCCACAACGGGGGAGGTGGGAGCGGTCCTGGGCCAGCTGCCAAAGCAAGCCCTCCCCAGACCCAGGCGGGAACCAACTACCTTCAGGCAAGATGCCTGGCGAGAGGCTAACGACCTTCGACAGCACAGGGAGCAGAAGCCGAGGCCCAGGGCCTTCAGGTGGCCGGGCCTCCAGAAGCTGCAGGGCATGTCGCCCCACACTGCCCACCTCATTCTGCCTGTCACCCTGCAAACAGAGTACATGCTGGGCAAGCCGCCTCCACTCACCACCACCCCCCACCCCCCGACGGGGGACCCCCACTCAAGGCTCTGAGGTGGCTTGGTGAACATGACTGGCTGAAGAGAATGACCCTTGCCTCCCTCGTCCTCTCAGGCCACACAAGGCTAACAACACTTCTGCCTTGGGGCTGGCTACCCCCTCACCAGACCCCACCTAGTCCTTAATGGATGTTGGGGACCGGCCAGTTGACAGAATTCAACTGTCTGCTCTCGGTCAAACAGTTTGAGTCCATCTGCTAATCTGATGGCCCACCCGGCAGTCCTGTGGGAGAGAGGCCTGGCAGCCTGCTTGTTGTGATGCCAGCCAAGGAGACCCTCCAGGGCAAGCTCTGCTGGCATACAGTTCACTGTGGGTCAGCGCCAACAGCACCTGAGACCGCATAGTGACCCAAGGAGGAGTGCAAAGGGAGCTGACATTTTAAAGTGTGGCCTGTGAGACTAAGTACCTGCGGTCCCTCTAGCAGCAAGGGGGGCCGGTGGTGGTGCAGCCCAGCCCTCAGCACTGACGGGACTGGAGGGGCCAGAGAGAGACCAGCACTGCCTCAGGGGGTCCTGAATGCTAGCATGTGCATGCACACACGCCTCTGCACGTGCAAGGGGCATCAAAAAGCTTGTGGCAAACAGGATTAAAAGATAATACTGTATACACTCGTGCCTGTAGAGGACACTCCTGTTTACACACATAGGGAGGGGCCTACCGATGTTCATGGGAATAGGGTAAACGGAATTTTCCTGGAAATTCTGTACACAGCCTCCCCTGGGCCCTGTGCCAGTACACCAGCATGCTGCCTGGGGGTGGTGCAGGGTTACCTGGGCAAGAAGCACAGAAGCCACCAGGCTCAGGGTGTGGCTGTTGTGGGCTTGCTCACAGGTCAGGGCCAGGCCCTCGACAGGGGCCATCTCCCGCAGGATGGCGGCACAGAGGAGCTGGAGCTGTGGGGGCGCTGTGGTCGAGCAGAGGGTGGTCTGCAGCAGGTTCATACAGGGCTGCTCCAGCCTGCAATGGGCACCCAAGGGTGGGCCTGCTCAGCCTGGGCTTGGTCACCACACACTGGAGGGCACCCTGGGTTCCAGGCCCCAGCAGCCCTGGTTCGGAACCCACTCCCATGACCTTGAGGTGGGTGCAGGCCTGGGCAGTGGAGCCCCGCCTAAAACAAGATTCAAACAAAGGAATGTCTGCAGTCCCAGGACGTGCAGGCTGCTGAAAGGCCCCCACCAACACTCACTTCCTGCGGTACTTTGTCGCTGAGAGGATGAGCAGCAGCCTCTGCAGGGCATCCACGGCCTCGGCCCCCGAGTCCTGCTGCTGCAGCAGCTTGGTTATCCGGGCACAGAACTTGCTCAGCTCCCCGTCCTGGATCTCCCTGAAGGGGCAATGGTTACTCAGCAAAGAAACCCCGGTGCCAGGGGAAGGAAGGGGAGCCTACCTACTGGAATGAGCGCCTGGCTCCCACGGACTGACACATGCTGCTGCCTCCCCTCCCCTATCACTTTCAACCTTGCCAACAGATGCAGTGGTCACACCTCTTCACCTGGAAGAACTGAAAGCAAACTGATGTTGGAGAGCCGAATCAACCAGGGGAATTTAGTCTCAAATAAATCTGCTTTACAAGCAATTGTTTCATGTGCCTTTAACACCTGGGAACAATAGTTACAATCGGTCTTGGAGCCCATGGTTGCAGCCACTCTAGCTGAAGGCCCACAAGGTCACGGCAAACAGTGACCGTGTGGTTAGCAGCCCAACGTGTAACCGCTATGCCACCAGGGCTCCAGAGGACCCAGAGGGTGGCAGGTAGATTCTTAGCCCAGCAGCAAGCTCTACAAATCAAAACCTCCGTGGTATTAAATTCTGACCAGGGTACCCCAATTCAAGAGTGACGTGTGTCTAGGGTAAACTGCCCCTCCCGAGGGGCATATGGGTGGAGTCGCATCACCAATCTTTTAGTTAGCTGCAAGACACAATTCCAAACTCACTGCCATCCAGTCCATGCTGACTTAACGGGTCTCCTTCAAACGAAACCAAACGAATTGCTATCAAGTCCCTGCCACCGCACAGCGACCCCGTAGGGCAGAGTAGATCTGTTCTGTCTGTTTTTTGAGGCTGTACATCTTCCTATGGGCACATACGGCCTCTTTCTCCCTCAAGCAGCAGAGCAGCCACATAACCGCCACACTGCGGGGCTCCTTGGGCTGTGCGCAGGAGATAGAGTCTAACTATCCCCCGTCAGGCTTAATGAGGAGCTTCCTGGATTCCTGACTGATGGAGAATGCTCTCAGCTGCTTCACCAACTTCACACTCAGGGTCTAAAGCTCAGCCGGAGAAGGATCCGGCCACACTTCAGTCAGCTGGCTTTTCTAAGCCAAATGTAAACGCAAACCCGCTGCCACGGAGCCCATTCGGTTATCGCGACCCCTCAGGGCAGAGTAGAGGGGTCCCCTAGGGCTGCCGAGCCTGTCCATCTCTACGGGAGCAGACCGTCAACCGCTGACCACAAGAGCACTTGGCCCACTGCGTCACCGGGCCGGCCTTCATTTCCACTAACCTCCCAGCCTCTTGGTGACTTTGCTCCCGACCGCAAGGTGGCAGAACCTCTGGGCACCTGTTGCCAGGCAGGCGCGGTCGGCTCGGCTCGGAGCCAACCCAGGGTCCCACCTGGACCCTCCCGACACCCTCGCCGCCAGGGCCCCAAAGCGCAGCGCGGCGCCGGCCTGGCTCCCCAAGGGGAAGGAGTGGGAGGGAACCCGGGCACCTGGCCTGGCGGAGCAGACGCTCCATGCCCGTCGAGGACATCTCGCTGCAGAAGACGGCGCTCCGCCGCTTGAGCCCCCAGGTCTCCACCGGCAGGCTTCCGGGGTCATGTCACGTGCCGCGTCACGTGAACGGATGGGCGGGGCGGAGCGCCACCGACCAATGAGGGCTCTGGCGCGGAGCACGTCGGGCCGGGCCGGGGCCGCGGGAAGCGCGGATTGGGTGCAGGCAGTGCGTCCAGTGGTTCTCAAGCTTCTTAATGCCGTGACCCTTTCACACAGTTCAAGTGGCGGTGACCCTGCAGCCATAACATTATTTTGGTGGGTGCTTCATCGCTGTCTTTTTGCTGCTGTGATGAGTCGGGCGGCCCCTGTGAACGGGTCGTGAGACCCGCAAAGGGGTTGCGACCCCCAGGTTGAGAACCGCTGGCACGGGCGCTCCGCACCCGGAGACTTGGGTTTCTTAGAGCCTGCACCCCTGAATCCGGACTTCTGAGCTTGCACCCTGCGACTAAGTCCTCTGAACCCGCGACCTGTGTTCAGCCCGCACCCCGAAATCTCGATGCTCTCAACCCCAATATCTCGGCGCCCACACCACAAAACCCGTCTTCGGAGCCCGTACCCCGAGATCGTGGGGCCTGAAACACGGTCCTCTTAGCCTGCACCTGACGGTGAGTGCCTAGGTTCTCACGGGCCACCTCCCGAGCCCCGAGACCAGAGTCGGATCCCTGCGGCCAGGTCGCAGGCACCCGCAGCCGGAGACCCCCGACCAAAGACCCCGAGCCCCGAGCGCCTTATCCTCGGAGCCTGCCCTTCTCTGGCGAGGAGCCCTGGTGGCGCTGGGTTGCTAACCACAAGCCGGCAGTTAAAACCACATCTGCCCTGAGGGCGTCGACTCCCGTAGGGTTACAGCCTCAGGAACCCCCAGGGACAGGTCTGTCCTACGGGGTCCCAGGGAGTCGGCGTCGTCTGCGCGGCCGCGAGGTTGGATTTTGGACAGCGCTGCTCTGAGGGACGCGCCGAGGGGCGCGTCTGCAACAAGCACAGTCAGTCTCCGCCCCAACTCGGGGCGCAGGCGCCGTGGGCTCGGCGCCCGTCTGTCCACCGCCACGAGGTTGTCTGCTTCCAGGACGCTTTGCCGTCTGGTACACCTTCGAGCGTCGCTGCGAGTGCACTGCAGACAAGGCTCGGCTTGGGGCGGAGCTCCAGGGGACGGCAGTGCCCACTCTGGAGGGAGGCCCGCCCCTCCTTGGCCACTTCCAGGTGGTGCCAACCTATCTCCCCTTCAGTCCTCCCAGCCTAGGCCTCATCGCCACAACGCCGCCGCGTCATCATTCACGGGGGGCGGTTGACTGACCGGTGGAGGAGGAGGGGCGGGTCCCTTCACTTGGGGTGCGGACAGGCAATGGCCGGGAGTTGACTTGGGGACAGTGCACGAACGAAGCAGTAATGGTGTCCCAGGCCAAGGACAGTGACCATCCCGAGGTGGCCTCCTACAGCTGTGAGGAGGGTGCTGGGTGGTTTGAATGCGGTGCAGAGGACAGACCTGTATGCCCCCCTCTCCACACTGGCAGGCCTCTCAGCAGGTGTTTGCATGTCCCGCACTGTTTGGATGAAGCAGTGACACTGGTTAGGGGCCCGAGGTGGACACCTGTGCGCGTGACCAGGCAGGACCCAGGACTTGTCAGGGTCTCAACTGAAAAGGCTTAATTTGACACGAAGGGTCAAACCAGAGACGGAAAGCATGGGGGCTAGGGTGGAATTAAACTGGGACGTTTGAGGAGGGGGACCCCGGAGTAGATGTGCCCATGTGCCTCCTGTCTCCGTTGGCCACCGTGCTGGGTGGGGGGCGGCCTGCAGGTCGAAACCAGCAGCAGCGACAGTGACGGTCTGGGAAACCCCCGGGGGGCGGGGAGTTTGAATTTTGCAAGTTTGTTGCTGCCCTTCATTGCCATCCCTTTGGCGCCACCACGAGGCAGCCTTGTGTGTTGCCGACTCAGGGACTGATGGGGGCTGGAGTCCACTCTTCTCTGGCAATGAGTTCGGTTTTGAGATTTTGCGGCCAGATCATCGGAGCCTTGGAGGCATTGTGTTGATGCGCTGGGCTGTGATCCTCGAGGCCGGCAGTTCAAAACCACCAGTATCATCGTGGGAGAAGGATGAGGCCCTCGATTCCCCTTAGTCAGTGTCTTGGAAACCCACGGGGCACTTCCACCCTGTTCTGGGTTTGCCAGGGGATTTTTTTTGGTGGTTGGTGTAGCGGGCTACGCGCCGGAAAAGGAAGAGGCTGTCTGTTCCTGTAGATTGACAGCCTTGCAAACCCACTGGGGCCGTTCCACCCTGCCTCCCAGGGATGCGGGCGCAAGGGCAGTGGGTTTGGTGGTGCCGCTGCTAACAAGGTCAGCGGTTCTAACCCACTAGCTTCTCGTTCTCCGGGGAGATATCAGCCTGGGACACTGAACAGGGCCACTGAGATTCGATTCGGTTGCTGTGGGTCTGTTTCGGGGTTTGGTGCAGTTGAATGGATTCGGACTCACCCGCGGCCCACGTGGCAGGGTGGAACTGCCTGCGGGGTTTTGTGCGCTGTGGCCCAAGAGCGCGCAGATGCCAGGCCGAGGCCCCGCAGGGCTGAGGGGTGGCTTCACCGGGCTGCCTGGGGCGCAGCCACTTCGCCACGGGGACTCCTGAACACTTAAACCTACTCTAATCTCTCACTTCGTTCAGTAATCGAGAAAAACACTCATTAACATAAGACGTGAAGCCGCTTCAAGAGCGTCCAGGACATGGAATTCAAAGGGAAGGGCTTTTTTGGTGGCTGGAAGGATCAAAACGGGCATCTTATAGATTGCTTTTTTAAAAAACAGGATTTTTTTTTCTTGTCAATTCATTGTCAATTTTTTATTCAACAATTTCAGCTCTGCCCGCTGTAGTGTCAGTTATTGTAGGTACTCACTGGGCTGCTGACAGATAGGTCAGAGATTCAACACCACCGACTGCTCCACAGGAGGAAAGACAGGCTTCCCCCTCCCGTAAAGATGCAGCCTGGGAAATCGAGGCAGCTCTGCCCTGTCGGCATCAACTAAAGGCAGAGAGCTTGCTTTTTCGCCCCTCCCCCCACTGTGGATGACTGTCTCCCTAGCCCTGCACCCCGTTACTACCTGCCGTCCCTCTGGCCGATCGTCCTCACCTCCTGTCTGTTCTCTTGGCCAGGCACGTTTTCATTTTCTATTTGTGTTCCACTTGGCAGCAGTGTCACCCAGTGCTCGTCTAACTTAACTCAGCATGCGGTCCCCAGGCCCTCCGTCCGTGTCCTGAGGCGCTCCCTGGTTCCCCTCTGGCTTTCCAGGGAGGCGTATGCTCCACTGGGAAGGCGAACCAGTCTTTGCCCATTCTCCCACGGATGGGCATTGGGGCGACTCCATCTTGCTGTGGTGGACAGGGCTGCGATGGACAGCTCTACCCAGCAGTCGGGGATTTCTCTTCCCAGCTGTCGGAGGTTGTGCCACGGCGCTGCCCACGGAGGCTGCACGTTAAAGAGAAGTTTTCAGAAACCCCCGAGGACCCCGTGTGTCAAGGGAGGGTTGGTGGCAAACTGGACTACATGTTGGACCGCTTACTGCAAGGTCAGCAGTTCGAAACCACCAGCTGCTCAGAGGGAGAAAGACGAGACTGTCTATTCCCAGAGGTTTAGACACACACACACACACACACACACACACACACACGCGCACGCGCACGCACGCACACGAGCATTTCTGCCCTCTCCTGTAGGGTCTCTCTGAGTCGGTTTCGACTCGATGGCAGTAGTCTGGATTTTTCCCCAGAGGGTTGTCTTCCTGGAGAAACTGTGCGGCTGCCCTGCTGGCGTCAATGCAGCTGACACACAGCAGCCAGTGTACAACAGGACGGGCCGTCGAGTCCACGTGGCAACACCACGTGTCAGTCCCCCTCAAGGGCCTGCCTTCTTTCCGCTGCCCCTCCACTTCACCAAGCGTGAGGGCCTTCTCCAGGGACAGGTCCTTCCTGGTCCCACATCTACGTACAAGAAAGTGGCACCAGTCCTCCGGGCAGCAGGGCTGTACTTCCTCCAGGGCAGTGCTGTCCAAGGTCCAAGGCTGCAGGGGACCACCACCACTCCCCCTCACTGTCCGTGATTCAAAAGGGAGGGGCTGTGGCTGGTCGCTCCCTGGAGCAGCCCCCCACCCTGCGATGGGCGGTGGTGGTGGTGGGGTTCCTATGATGAGTGTGACACCAGGGCACTGAACAAGGACCCCCAAGGTTGACTGCAACCAAGAGTGTGACCTGCAGGCAGGGGGCTGTCCATGTCACCTGCTGGGGGCTGGCCACTGAGGGTCCAGGGGGGATGCAGAGCTGCCCATCCAGCCCCGCTCCACCTGGTCACAGCAGCGGGGGCCCAGCAGCTTGGTGGGGTGCCACTGGCCTCAGTCTCGGGGCTCAGGCTCTGGTGCCTATGGTTGCTCTCTGTCCCTGTGGCAGGGCCGAACATCCCGAGCCCTGGGTGCTCGCTTACTGCCCAGGGAGCCACAGAGCAGGGTGGAGGGGGCCAGCAGAGCCTCTGAGTTGCCTACTTGTCCCCCCTACCACCACCCAAGGATGCCAAACCTGGGGCTGTCATGTCTTTAATATATAATTTTATTTCTGGTTATAGAAATAAATGCTAAGAGGAGGAAAAAAATTTCCCTGTTCACGTCCGACGATTTGATAACAGACAGTTAAAATAAACGGGGAGGGGGGGCAGGGGAAGGAGCTTTTAAAACACGAAGGTCTGATACAATCTGAAACCTAACTCTGAGGCCAGAGTTAAAAATACTGCATCCCCGTGAAAAGAAACGAGCCCTGACCGCTCAGGGTCACAATGGGGCCTGCGTTTCTGCACCGCTTCCCCCCCCCCCCCCCCCCCCCCCCCACCAGGACAGCACTGCTTCTGGAGCCTGGCTGGGAGACAGTGGGAGAAACAGCTGGCAGATGCGGTCAGACCACCCCCTCACCTCCCCCCACACACCCCAGGTTCATCGTGTACCTTCATGGTACCCCAATTTCATCCATGCAGCCTCACAGCACCCCTAATCTTAACACACGCAGCATACAACACCCCATTACAGAATGCTCTGGTCAGAAGGGGCTCTGGCTCTGGGCCCCCATTCCTCGAGCTGGGTGGGGGGGCCTGCCAAACTGGGTCCCCTCTCTTCTCCGGAAGCAGAGATGGACGTTCAGAAGACTGGCCTGAAGAAAGTTGGCCGAGGGGGCCAAAGCACAGGACCCGATTTCGCCACACTGCGCAGAGACCCCTCAGGACCACTAGCCCGCAGGTGCGGCTGCTGGCACAACAGTGATGTCCCTGTAGGCAGCTGACCACCCAGGGAGCTGTGACCTCACTCTAAGCCGCTTAGAGCTGCAGAGAGAGGGGCACAGGGCAGGCAGCAGGGAAACCCCCTGAGCCAGAAGCGGTCTGGGTGTCAGGTGACCAGACCCATGGGTCCCAGAGCAGGGCAGTGGCCAGGACGTGATGGGGGACAGGGGGGGCGATGGATGAGAGCCCAATGAAAAGTTCCCCGACACGTGGGCACAGAGAAGACTGGGCTGCCACCCCAACCTCCACCCCAGTGAGCAGTGCCCAAGAGCAACTGACTCTCCTGACAATGTCCCAGGAGCTGGCCCATCCTGGCCTCCCACCACAAGCTGTGGACACTGGGGGACACAGACCTTCTGCTGGACTTGAGTGCACCCTGGTCACTCCCCGCATCAACCTCGGCCTGGGGCCCACTCAGCAGCTGGGTGCTCTGCACCCCTGGGGGGCGGGGTGAAGCCACGAGACCAGACTCCCCCAACAGCAGACATGAGCAAGAGTTCAACCAGGGGCTGTGACCTGCGGGGACAGCTGTCTCCCCAAGGCCCTTCCCCCCGCAGGGTCAGGAGGCCTGACCATCCCTGAGGCCTCTGAGCTGGTGGCCACCCCTGCCTCGCCCACTGTGGCGGCAGCAGCATCTGGTCATGCTGGTAGCATCCTGCGTGTCCTGCAGCGAGAAGGATGTGGGGGCCAGACACGCTGTCTTGGGTGCTCAGACCTAGCCTTGGGAATGGAACCACCACAGGGGACTCAAGGGACAAGGCAGGCAGAGTCCCGGGACAGCTATGACCACTGGTACGTGCAGAGCCCAGGCTGGACTCCCAACAACTTTGTCCTCTGACCAGGCCACCCTTAGTGCCCAGGTCCTCCTGGTTACCGCTCACACAGACAGTCCTTGCCGCCTGGGCCCTTCCTGTGCCCCACTAGCCAGGCTGCTCGGGGCCCCTCCCACTGCAGTCCGAGGAGCTTGTTCCGGAACAATGCGTGTTACACACCTCGTCACTCCCTAAGCCCTCCAGGTCCTGAGGCTCCAAGCCCTCTGGGGCCCTCATCTACCCTCCCTCAGTAGGGTGATCCGCGGGCGGCTGAGGCTCAGGTGCTGTGGGCTGGGGCGAGAAGCTGGGTGCACCTCCAGACTGAATTCCATGGCCCCCACCCGCCTCAAATTCAGCAGGAGCCAGGGAACCCACAGCTGCCAAGCCCCACCCTGAGCTGCCCAGCACGGGCAGGGTTAGGCCTGCGTCACCTGTGGACAGCTGGGAATCCAGCTCAGACTCGGTGGGGCGCCGTGGCAGGGAGAGGGTGCCGGAGGCAGATGGGAACAGCTGCAGGGATCCCCAGGCTGCCCCCACCTCTGGACCCACATTAGACCCTCAGTCCTGACACAGCAAGGGGCGTGGCTGAGGCGAGTGCTCACCCAGAGCCCAGGCTGTCCAGCCCCACACCGCCAGCTGTCCTGTCCCCTCTGAGATATGTGGACGCCACAGAAAGGTGACTGGCCTGGGGCTGGGGCAGCAGTCTGGATGGTGGTCGCCCTCTGCGGGGAGCTCCCTCGGCTGGACTAGGGCCCCTGCCCCCAGGGCCATCACAAAAGTGGGTGCAGCTGGGTGGGGGCGGGGAGCGGGCAGCAGTTTTCCTCCACGTGGATTCAAGGCGGTGGCGGTCCCCAAGGGGTGGCCATGTTCGCGGGAACCACGGTGACACGGGGAGAGTTGTGGTCAGGATCCACAGCTCCTGCACTCCAAACTCGGCTCAAGTCCTGTGCGTGTGGCCTTGCCAGCTGCAGGGACAGTGGCTGGCCTTGGCGTCCGTCCGTCCAGCGCTGAGTGGCCATGACGTGGGCAGAGGGGTCTGCTGGGGTTCGTCGGCGCCGAGAGCGAGACTGGGAGGCGGAGGTGTGAAGGGACCAGGAGGAAAGGTGCTCCGGGGTGCGGGTGGGGGGCCGCGAAAAGAGGGGTAGGTCCTGCCGCGGATCCGCACCGCCGGGTGTCACTCGCCGGAGCCAGGGCCCTGGGGACCAGCAGCCGCCATCGTGCTGGCCTGCGCTGCCGTGGTCCCGCCGGGCTCCTCCACCCGCGGCCGTTTGACCTCGGGCTCCCCGCTGGGGGAGGCCGCGGCGGCAGGGGCGGAGGTGGGGGGGGCGTTGGCTGCGGGGACCACGGCCGCCGGCTCCTCGGGCCCCACCTCACACACGCGGGTCACCACCACGGGAGTGGACGAGCTGGCCTGGGCAGCCAGGAGCTGCAGGGGGCTTGTCAGAGCTGTGGGAGGACCAAGTGGGAGTTGGGTGGGACGTCCCGGGCAAAGCCCCGCCCACTCTCCCTGTCCCCGCCCACTGGAGGCCACGCCTCCAAGGGGTGGAGCAAGCTGCGGACCGTAGCCATCAGGACCCCTATCCTCACCTAGTCTGCCCCCACTCCCTCCAACACCCCCCCCCCCACGCCGCAATCTAGCCCCCTGCCTCCCACCCCCGCCCCAACGCCTCGGGCGAGCCCACTGCCCGCCCCCTGGCCTCGGTGGCCGCAGCCCGGGGCCCCACCGTAAGTGCTGCCCGCCAGGCCGCTGGCAGGGGCCGAGTGCTTCCCATTCTGGGTGATGGCCCGCACGGGCAGGTGGTGCTGGCCCAGTGTCACCGGGGTGGCCGGCTGCAGGATGGTGACCGTGTGTCCGGGGACACCTGGAGCCATCTGGCTAGCCACCGTCTGGATGACGCGGCTGGCGGCTGGGATGGTGGCGAACGCAATGGTAGGCTTTTCCTCCAGGCCTAGAGGGCAGAGCTCGTCAGACCGGGCTAGGGGTGACAGGCAGAAGGCCGGTGGGACCCCCCACCCCCCACCCTCGGAAAGGGGTCTCACCACTGACGTGTTTCCGGGAGAAGACAACGCTCCAGCCCCTCCTCCTCCCCCCATCTGCCTGTGAGGACCCGAGCAGGACTCACGCAGGTGGGTGTTAGGGCTGGGACTCTGCCCCCTGGCCGCCGAACGGAAGCCGCAGGGGTGGGGGCTGCTCCGGGGAGGCTGCGCCCTGGGGATCCCAGAATGCCCACCCAGCTGCCCTGAGGATGGTGGTGACATGAGGGTGCTGCAGCCCAGCGCCGCACCTCTGGCTTCGCTCCCCAGGTCCAGCACAGCCGCTCCGGGGGTGTCGTGGGGGCCCCCCGCCACACCTTGGCTCGCCAGGATGTAGCCATTGGCGGAGCTGGCGGAGCTGGTGACCACCCTGACCATGGTGACGGTGGGTGCCTGCTGCACCACGTGGATGGCGTGGCCCGAGGGCTGCTGGGAGGCTACGATGGAGGCGGGCATGTAGGTCACTGGCTTGGCCACCAGGTTGGAGGGCCGGGGTGGCACTGCCATGATGACCGGCTGGGCGCTGACTGGCGAGCCTGAGCACAGAGGGGCGAGTGAGCCCACCATCCCGCCCCTGCTCCGCCCTGCCCCATTGGGCGTGGTCCTCACCAGGAGCACTTTGGGAATACCGGTACTCTGGGACAGCAGCCAGCTTTGAGCCGAAGTCGCTGTCGTGGGGCACCGGGGAGCCCTCCCGGGACAGGCACTCTGGAGTCTGCAGGCCGCTGGGGCGTGGGGACAGCAGCCCTGGGTGGGTGGGCGAGGCGGGGGCGCTCCTGCAACACAGATCCCCGCTGTCAGCTAAGACTGGACCAGAGGGTCGTGCCTGCCCCCACCAACCTGCCACCCCCACCCACAAGGGCCGCTCCAATGGGGGCAGGGGTGAGGGAAGGGGCAGGTGGGAGGGCTCACCTGGAGGAAAGGGGCCCAAAGGGGGTCCGGAAGCAGGAGACACCCCTCTGCCGACGTTTCCGGAAGGCCTGCTCCACCAGCTTGGCCTCGGAGGCGGGGTCTATCCTCCAGAAGGAGCCCTTCCCCGGCTCCTCCTGGGAGCGAGGCACTTTGATGAAGTAGCGGTTCAGGGAAAGGTTGTGTCGGATGGAATTCTGTGGGACGCAGGGGCCACATGACCAGCTGGCCCTGCACATGCAGGACCCGCCCACAGGCACACTCGGCTGGCCACACAGGGACCCCCCACACAACACACTGAACACACACCAGGCCATCCAGGGGCCTGTACACACACGCACAGCCACGCAGGCCCAAACGTATAAACACCCGATCTGCAGGGGCCGCAGGCCAGGGAGATGGTGGTCCAATCCTCCAGGAAAACGTACAGAAAGCACAGTGGTGGTCTCTGCCTGCACTACGCAGGGTTCCTGGTCGAAGGG